GCAGGAAAGCTTGAAATACCTACCAAAACACTTGAATACAGACATACTGTCAGTATGGAAATGCTTCTGTGCAGGTGTTAATCAAGTTAAATCCCAACAGCCAATCAGCAAGAAGTATAGAGGAAAGCTGCATGCCTATTGGTTGATGCCCTGCATTCCATTGTGATGACTCATGCCCAAACGTGGTAAACAAGGCACACTAACACAGTAATACATTTGCTATAACACAGCCAAAAAACTCAAATAAAACCATTCTAAAAGCCTGTATCACAATAATTAATAAACGCCTAGGGGTATTTGCCCACTGTACCTCCATACCAAATTTCAGGACCTTGGGCCCTAAAATGAAGAAGCTGAATCCATTTAAAAAATGGCAGGAGAAGAAGGAGAAGGAGAAGGAGAAGAAACATCAGAAAAAGCAATATGGTTTCACCACACCACTTCGTGGTGTGGTGAACCCATAAAAATCTTTGAATTGTCATTATATGAATACATCATGCCTCACTGTATGTGAATGACCAGACACATACCGGGTACCTGCTGTACAAAGTGTAACTTTGTGGATGTATATATGACTTTTTGGGATTTTATGAATAATATACATGTATGTCATGTGTAATATCTGTTAACCAGATATTACACATGACCCACTGTAAAGCGGTGCTATATCACTGAGATTGGCCACCCTGGCTAAAGAAAACAGAAATTGAAAAAAAACTTTGATAAATTTAAATGTAATATTTTTTAACCAACATGTAACCCATCATGCTGGTACTAGTATTTGTAGTCTCAAACAAGTTCAGCAAAAAAGTCTTTTGTGTGTGTGTGTGACTGATCAGAAAAATTTTGATTTTTTTTTCAAGGTCCTGTGCCTTCAGAAATTGTGCACACTGAGAGCAAAACGTCTTCTGAGCTGGAAGCCAAGACTCCCCCACAAGATGCTGCTGAAGATAAGAAAGTGAAAGTTCATGACACAACCGAGGAAGAAAGTAAAAGTGATGATGAAGGAACTGAAAGAAGCAAAACACCGACAAAGGAAAGATCAGCCAACAGCTCCCCTCCCATCTTTAACAAAGACTCGCCTCCGTTTGTCAACGGGCTGCTTACTGAGGAAGACCTGCAGTACCTTCAACAGGCGCCAGAGGACCTTCAGAGGATCCTGGCCACAGAAGACTTCACTAATAGGTAAAATGTTTAGTCTACCACTGATCCCCTCCTTGATTTAGTGTTACACTGACATCTGTTTCACTTAGTAAACTTATTTCACTCTCTTCCTTCATTCTTGTAATTTTAGAATACTTAGTAGTTAAGATGATTTAAGAATTTGTAAGTTGACTAAGAATCCAGCCGTTACATCGATGAGAATTAAACGTCCGGGTAGAATATTATGTAATAAAATACAAATCAAGCAACAGGATGTTTCTAGTTACTTGATTTATTAGTTTTAAGTACTGTCTGTAAAAGGTTTCCTAGTAGTGTATAATATGCAATTTCATAGCTGAGTATGATGATCATAAATGATAATAATTCTTTTATACATTGTTTTTTTATAGAACTGACGAGTACAAGCTTCTCCTGGAGCGAGCCAAGAAGAGCGTTCGTCTGAAGGAGATTCGGAGCAGGAGGGAGTCGTACCTGGCTGCCATGGCAACGGAGTACAGCCCGTCAGGGAAGGACGGCGGCGGGCTAGGAGGGAGGTCACCTAGGGGTCAGAGGAGGGCGTCACGACCGAGAAAGGCTGTCGTCAAACCCTTACAGCACGAGGAAGAAACTGCACCAGTTTCTGATGTCACTGAGAAGACGGAGGGAGTGAGTGAGGCAAAAGCTGACGACAAAAAGCCCCGGCAGGACAAATCCAAAGAAAAAGATGACGCTTTGAAACAAAAGGGAGACAAAGGTGATGATTCTGTGACAGCTGAAACTGGCCAGGTCAAAGATGAGAAAAAGATGACGGAGGACAAAGACAAAAGTAAAGATGTGACAACCATTTCTGATCTTGATGTGGAAGCTGAGACAAAAGAAACTTCTGCAGAACAAAAGGAGAAACAATCAAAGAAAGGAAAGACTAAAGATATCAAAGAAAAGGATAAAGAAGACACGACAGAATCTTCCGACAGCTCGTCTGATAGTCCCTCATCCCCAGTGAAAACAAATGCAACTTTCGGTGACTCGATTTGGGACGAAATCAGCGATTTATCGGAAGTCTCAGAGTCAGTGTCAAGCAGCACATCTTCACTTGACACGGTGATTGACACGACCAATGACAGCATCGATCAGGAGCTACAGAGCTTGGAGGAGGAAGAAAGAAGAGCAGCAGAAATCATTGGGGAGGCAAAACCGGAGAAAAGACCTGATCCTGAAACAACGATCCAGCAAGCATCAGCAAAAGAGCTCCAGCCACCGAAAGATGAGGTTGAGATGAAAAAGCTCAAAGAGAAGATCTGCAAGTCTCCAACAGGCTTTGCTGGGGATGGAGGGTTGGAAAGTGTGGAGGTTTTGTCTGATACATCATCAGAAACATCTATCGAGTCCCAAAACGAAGTTACTCTAGTCGAAAGAGAGAAAATCTCACCGGAAGACGTCGTCACATCTTCAACAGCGAACAATGAGCAAGATACTGAAGAGGATGCTTCAGACAGATTTTACGCAGAAGCAAACAAGGAGTCTGTTGCCACAGATACGAAACCTTTCCAGACCAAACCTGCACCAGCCAGCGACGAGACTGAGTGCTTCGACACAAACGGGAAATCCAAGAGCCTTGGCGACATCACATCCGAGGACATCCACTGTAACAAGTTTGACAGCAAATACAAGACTATCAGCAAGAGCTTCATCACCAAAAAGATGCGCGAGCAGAAGCGCTTCTCACCCCTCAGGGGCCCTGTCATGCCAAAGAAGCCGTTAGAACAAGAGCTCATCAAGCTAACGACATTCACCCCAGAAGAACGGGCGCTACCTCAACCCACCTCAAGGCTGGAACCGAAGACGTCCACTCCCAAGAAGCTGACTTTCTCCAGTAGGAGCGAAAGTAGAGTGAAGCACATCGCTAGCAGGAAGAGGACACAGTCCGAGTCTGGCTCTCAGGATACAGAAGCGAGCAGTTTCAGGAGAACCGGGGATGCCGTGTTTGTTTTAACAGCAAAGGCAGAGGCTGTGCCAAGGAGGAACAGGCCTCCCACTCCCCCTATCTACCAATACCGGCACAGCACAGGCTCCTACATACCCGGCTACATTGAAGGGCCCGCCCCATTGTTGGAGGACAGGGGAGTCCCAGAGGGGGCGTGTTCAACCCCTGGCACAGCCCCTGACATTGTGCCAATGGCTTCTCCACAGGGGGACAGCAAGTTGGAGGAAGAGCCGGAGATATACTTTTTACTCAATGTCTAGTTTTGGAAGTGTTACAAGAGATAAGATTGTACAGTTTTGATGACTATATAGCTAGAGCCGTCTCTATGTATCAGGTACATCACTGTTGAGCAGTGGAATATCACTTATTTAACCTCCTCACTGCTTCCAATGCCATAGCTAGTACATATTTGTGCCATAAGGCTCTACCTCAGTAATGAGATTAGGTTATCACTCATGTAGTCCATTTTTTTCCCGTTCTGTTACTTGAATACAATATTCCAACTTTTGTTTCCTATAAACCACTATCCTTTCCTTACATGTACACAATACAGTCAAACCTGTACAAATGACCATCTCTACATAAGATTCAGGTGGCCATTGATATACAGTCAAACCTGTGCTAGTGACCACCTCTACATAAGGACCACCTGGCCATTGATATACAGTCAAACCTGTACTAGTGACCACCTCAACATAAGAACCACCTGGCCATTGATATACAGTTTGTACGGCCAAACTTTGACTAGTGTCCATCTCTACATAAGGACAACCTGGCCATGTATTGTTCTTTCTTATCAATGTAGCAAATGTTATAATTGCTGTATTGTAACAAGAGTTAGAATAGACTGTTCCAAGTTACCACAACTTATTACACAAAACGAATATCACAAAGGACTGTAGATATCATTAACTTTGTTACGAAGTCTAGCTCTTAATGAACAAGTTGCCAATGTAGCCAACAATTTGCCATGAGGACAGACTGTGGAAATTGTCACAAAAATGTCTTTTAAATGTGTAGCCAACAAAATGATACAGCAGTCATATAGAAATAGTTTAGCTGTAGAGCTGTTGGCTAAAATTGTTTCTTCAAAATTAAGGTGTACAAAGTTGATGCTAAAATGCACTTCTTTTTTATGTATGTACAAAGTGGGTTTGAATGCTTACTAAGTTAACTTACTCTTAGACATGTACAGTTCATACAATTCATCAGAAGTATGATTTGTTCCACTAAAAAAAAGTGATAAGTTGATGTGGATTTTCTTGTTTGCCAAATGTTGCATTTTTTTTGTATGAACCAAAGGTTGCTTGATGTTGCATGTTTTTTGTGATTTTTGTCACTTACTGAATATTGTTTGAATTATGACTGACTTAACTGATGTATGTATATTTCACTCCATACAATAGTTATGGGTAGGTGGAGTGAAATATGCTGTATTTGCTTGAGCAAATGTCAGCCTCTCTAGTTCTAGATGCTTCATGTCTGATTTTATGTCCATATGTCTAGTTGAGACATCTTAATTTCAAAACTTAGAAATCATGTGGAACTGAAAGATAAACAATCATGAAAATAGATTCATAGGGAAAAGTCTGTACCTTGCACAATTTCAGAGTGAATCTAGTAATAAGATGCAGGTTTTCTTTCCAGTCCTCTGTTTCCATATAATTATGCCCTCTTGCTTAGTTTTTACCATAAAATAAATTGCTGTGGCGGCATTTGCTTTACATTTGAATATCAGACCAGTACTTGACGTTAGCTGCTGTAGTAACGATCATGTATCATTCAAGTTTTATTTAAAATAACATTTTAATGTACAGCTTAATAGGAGGCTGGTACTTTTAAACTAAAATAACTGTCAGCTTGGTGAAAGCAAATTGGATTATATGGTTACTGTAACAGTCTTCAGATTTTGTATACAAACTCTTCACTGCCAAAGTTGGTTTTGTATGATCATAGAAAAAACAATCATGTACAAGAGGGCTTGATACTAGATATGTTTCTAATCATAGCTGATCAGGATGACAGGAATTCTAAAACTATGCCAAAAATGATACAATCATGTGAGTAATTTAAAAGCAATTTGATTGTGTATTTTTCCCAATCATGTGGCCAAATAACAGTTTAACAATTTGGAATTCTATTGAGAAACGTGCCATTGCTTGAAACTTGGAGATGGTCAAAGTAAAATCATGTATTTAGATTACTCCAAGGTACATGGACTTTGTGAAGGTAGATTTAAAAGTGGCCACCTCTGCATAATGACTACCCGGCTATATTTTTGTTTACATTAGGCCATGTTGATTTGATTATATGGATGACATCCGCGCGCGCATGGATTTTCGGCCGTTTCCAAAAAAAGAAAGTTTTCAACCATACTGTAAATCGTACAAAACAGTTGCAAAATGAGCAAAAATATACAAAAAAAGTTTAAAAATAAAAATAAAAACTATACCAATGTCGTAGAATGCCAAAATCAAACAAAAAAAGACGAAATTGTAAAGAAATGAATTTGAAGAGTAGATTATTCGCCAAACCATATTCTGTGCCATTTGTTCAACCTTCATGACCGTGTACATTTCATAATGAAAACAACTTTTTTTTTTTGCAAAACTTTTTTTTTTATTCGCACGCGCGCATCAATTTTTGGGCTCCCAGAGGATGTCATCCATACAATCAAATCAACATGGCCTTACTTGTCTGAATTCATGAAGTGACCATTTGTCTGCTACCACCATTTTCTTCCACTGGTCACTATAGACAAATACATTGTACATTGCATGATGCCCAGCCAAATGTTATAATTTTGAATTTCACTGTCCTGTGCCATTGTCTGTTGTACAGTAAGTGTTGTCCTTTGATATGTGTGGCTGTGCTAAGTGTGTTTTGGCAGCTTTTGTTTGTGCCAAGTGACGACCCCACTTTCCATGTTGCAACCTGTGTTGTCTCAATAAAAGACTTCACCGTTATCTGCAGAAATGGTATTTTATCTATTTCTTCTCCCAGTAGGTATGCGTGTGTGTGTGCTCGTGCATGCACGTGCGAGCGTGTGTGTATGTGTGTGTGTGAATGTACCGGTATGGGTTCATTCAATTCTTTATTTCCATACTAACAGTGAAGACATACAATACAGAATTATAATATAATTCTATATTGTATGTCTGCAATGTCCCCAACGTAATTGTGGGATTGGCTCTCAGTAACATGAGAATTGACCGTTATAAAAATGAATGTGTAATATCGTAAAATGTGAAATGGTTTAGAAAATAAGACGTACATGTATAATATATTAATTGAGCTTCCCAGTGATTTTATGACAATTTTCCAGTTCACCATTAGTTTGTCTATCCAAAAATCAATAAATTGAATTTGTGTGGCCTCTTTTTTCCTATTAACTTAACTTACTTAGTACTATTTTCTAAGGCAACAAACCGAAGCATTGCATTTTAAGATACTTTATTGTGAAAACAATATTGACCATACAGTGATACTAAATCTCAAAACTTAAACTTCATAGTGCCTTTTGGTGACTTCTAACTTTTGACCAACTTTCTTTTCCTTTTACTTCTTTTCTTTATTTGTTTCATTTTTTCCTTCCTTTCCTTTTACTTTCTTTTATTTTCTGAGGATTAAAGGTGAAAAAAGGATACTTATGGAACTACAAAACGTTTCTTTTCTCTTCATATTTGGAGGAGCAAGGCTGGATTTGTCAGGGAGATCCATTATACGTTCCTGTCAGTTACGTTCTTATTTTGGAGCTTTGCAGATGTACGGAGAGCCAGTGAGCCAGCCAATGGAACAATGTTGCTCCGTCCACCGTCCACTGCGAGGTCCAAACAACCAGTGCTTGGACTGTTGGAACAAAACATACAATTTACAAGTTAAAGTCCACCTTAATCATATCTAGTGAATATAACTTACAGCACCCTTCTCCATTTCTCTATCATTGAAGCAGTAAATACTATACTATAGAAAGGAAAAGTCGTCTGGTTAAAGTGTGTGGTTAAAGTTCCATACTTTTTTTAGTGCTGAATGCTGAGCAGAGATCCTAAAACAGTATAGACCATTTAAAGGTTTTTGGTATGACTTGCCACTCATAATGAAGGTAATGTTTTTACGCTTGAATTATTATTCAGGTCACTGGAATGGTTTTGAAAACCGTTTCAAGTAACATCCACTACTTTTCGTCAATGTCTAACGGAATCACTGGTTGAAGTGATATTTATTCAGAAACCATGAAGTAAATAGTAAGCATTAAAAAGATAATTTCATAGTTTCTCAGAATATTAAATACCTGTTGAACTAGTGATTTCGTTAGTCACTGATGAAAAGTTGTGGATGCTACCAGAACGTCTGATAGTCTTCAAAACCTATCCAGTTTCTTGAGTAACAATTTCTTGTGTATCTTATTACCTAGATGTATAACTTTTATCGATGCATGCGTATATCAGTTAATGCAGTTTTAGGTGCTCAAGAGATGTCCAATATAATCAAGTGAGTATAGCCTTTCTTAAAGAAAAAAACTAGACGCACACACCTTTGCGTACATAGCAGAACAGAAACTCCTACTCATCCAACTCAAGTAAGATTGGCCGTCCGGTTCACCAGGAACCCAGTTCGTGTAGGAAAGTTTGGATCCATCAGACCACTCCCACCGTCCAAGCTTCTTGCGCAATCCAATGTAGACGATTGCTTGACTCGGATTAAAACTGTAAGCTAAAATCAGAGAAAAACTGTCATGACCTCTTGTTATGTATATGTCACAGTAGAGATGGAAATCCAGTAGAGTTGGCAACTAGTAGAGATGGGAATCGTATTTATACGATTCTAGCAGGGCACAGTCATATTAGTTTGTTTGTTTGTTTGTTTGTTTGTTTATTTAAATGCAACAGTGCATAACAAGTGGCAACCAGGCAGCAACAAGGCTAAAAAATGTTTTGGAAAATAGACTGAATATTTTCAATAGACTGAATATTTTCACACCTCAATCATTACCCAACATCACTCAATGAATAGCTGTTTGTACATGCCACTGAAATGTAAAACAGATACATTTGCATCAGGCCATTATGAGTTAGGAATGTTCTCAGCGTTACTCTTTTGTCATAATATAATAGACTCATATATCACACATATTTTGCTGTGTCAAGTCCAAACATGGTTCCCAGGTCATGGTATAAAAGGCAACTAGTATACAAGTCTACTAGTAGAGATTGGAACTCAGTAGTATAAATACTAGGATTCCCATCTCTACTAGTAGAGTTGGCAACTCTACTGGATTTCCATCTCTACTGTGACATATACAAGTACCATATTAAGAAGGGAAACATCATTTGGGCGATTTTCCTTCGTTTCGTTTTCTTCCAATGACCTGCACTGGTGCCTGAGTTCACCATGGTTACTGGTATTCTTTGATTAAACCAAATGTAGAAACTCCAAGAATTATTACAACTCATTTACTCAAACAAGTATTACACCCTCAGCTTCTCTACATGTAAAGCTAGGTGTGGATATCATCCCGTCAGTGACGTATGTATTATTGATATCAGTTATGTAAATGGATATATTTTGAATTAGCTTCATGTGCAAAACCAACGAGAAAATACTATAATTATAATAATTCTATAGCGGCAACTACCGGGAATTTCATACTTGAGGACTTTGGTATTTGGAAGTAAAGTGAAGATGAACGTCATTAAACAGCACGTATTCAAATCAGGACCTCATTTGCATAACATCATTAAACAGAACATATAAAAATTAGGACCTCATTTGCATAATTTATAAGAAAATGTTAGAATAACCTCTGTTAATATACGACCGCCAGATTGTAAGGAATGTGATCAAGTGATGTGATTTTTTTAAATGAGTATTTGATTTGGAAAAAGTTTTAATTCTTTATTCGTTTAACTTATGAATTTTTTTTTCATTCTGTGAATGTATGAGGTCGTGAGAAATGTCCTAAAAAAGAAAATTGAATTGATTATTGACACCCAGGAGCTGTTAATTACCTACCGTCAGTGATGAGACGTTTGACAAACTCGTTTTCCTCACGGCTGTGAATCGAAACAAGATTTGCACCCGACGCTTTACATCGTGCGTCCGCTGTGTACCAGTCGACTCTGTTTGCTTTTGTCATGAACTTGTAGCAGTGGTTGTTATACTCACTCCATCCACTTGGGCATTGCCGGGCTGTAACAAGCTTGTAATTAGTAACTAGTAACAAACTTTTAATTTAGTAACTAGTAACAAGCTTTTAATCAGTAACTGAAAAGGTGGGAAATCTGGAGTACATGGAGGGCTTAAAATCCTTTTATATGTATTACCCTGCACTGCTGGTGCAGGTACATACTAGCCAGTTTAGCGTCTGTTGTTCCCCGACTTCCGGGGGTTGAAAATTACCTTCACCTGTAAAGTTGATTTGCAAGTTTTATTTGCTCAACTCAAACTTTGGGAAGTGTGGATCATATTAAAAACTCTCCTATTGCAGTATCACGGACTGGACGACAGTAGCGCGGTAGAAAGCTCAGAAAATTCAGATGAACTCGAGTAGGTTGCGGCCGCTACCCCACTACCCCGCTACGCTACATGTGATGACAATAGACAGATGACCTCTGGGTCAAGTGAGGTCAGGGGTCGTATTCCGTGCATCTAATTAATTTCTTTGATCTGTCGCCCAAATAACTACTACGAATGTAGTTTTGTGACCCACCAGTCTTAGAAACGTTTTACACTGTGTATATAATGGTGATCCTATTAAACACACAGAACTGTTTTAGAATGTTAATATTTGAATAGATTTTTCCACACAAAAAAAATGGGATTATCAAAAAAGATTTTCTTTTGGAAAATCTTGAGATTTCTAAGATATATCTTAAGATTTTTCGACTTTTTAGTTCAATTTTCTGTTAATTGTCAAGCTGTTGTATTATGCAAACAGTCTATGTAATGTAGAAGTTACATTTTGAACTAAAGCTACATGTTAAACATGACAGTTGGCTCTGTTAAAGCCCATGAGAGCTGAATGACTGAAAAGCCATACTCTTTTATATTACTGTGATGTTTGCTGAATCAAAACCATTCGTACAATAATTAAACACTTTTTCAGTAAAAAATGGATTCTGTAATAGTTGGCAGTAAACTTTCTTGTTTAACAAGGTTTATGACATCTAAATCAATGTAATGTAATAAAGTATGCTACGTGTTACTTACACAGCACACCTTGCTGACAGTTCTGTCCAGTCCATCCAGGTGAGCAGGTACATTTGTATCCGCCATCTTTGTTCACACAGCGTCCATGTTGGCATGGGTTTCTGGTACACTCATTGATATCTGCGGGATAACGAAAGAAATATCACTCATATGTAAAACTAACTATTTTAATTTTCAAGAAAGAGACCGTAAAAAAGGTTTTGAGCATAAAAATCTATGTAGTAATATATGATATACTATGAGAATTGTAAACTACACAAGAGAACTCACCTTGCTGACAGTTCTGTCCAGTCCATCCAGGTGAGCAGGTACATTTGTATCCACCAGCTTTGTTCACACAGCGTCCATGTTGGCATGGGTTTCTGGTACACTCGTTGATATCTGTGGGATAAATTAAAAAAAGAAAGAAATATCACTCATATGTAAAACTAACTATTTCAATTTTCAAGAAAGAGACCGTAAAGAAAAAAGGGGTTGAGCTGGAAAATCTAGTATTATATGATATACTATTAGAATTGTTACTACACAAGAGAATTCACCTTGCTGACAGTTCTGTCCAGTCCATCCAGGTGAGCAGGTACACTTGTATCCGCCATCTTTGTTCACACAGGTTCCATGTTTGCATGGGTTTCTGGTGCACTCATTGACATCTGTAGGGTAAAGAAAGAAATATCACTCATATGTAAAACTAACTATTTGAATTTTCAAGAAAGAGACGGTAATAAAAATATGTTTTGAGCATGAAAATCTCTGTAGTAATATATGATATACTATGAGAATTGTTACTACACAAGAGAACTCACCTTGCTGACAGTTCTGTCCAGTCCATCCAGGTGAGCAGGTACATTTGTATCCACCATCTTTGTTCACACAGCGTCCATGTTTGCATGGGTTTCTGGCACACTCATTGACATCTGTAGAATAAAGAAAGAAATATCACTCATATATAAAACTAACTATTTGAATTTTCAAGAAAGAGACCGTAAAAAGGTTTTGAGCATGAAAATCTAATAATAATAGTATGTAGTAATATATGATATACTACGAGAATTGTTACTACACAAGAGAACTCACCTTGCTGACAGTTCTGTCCAGTCCATCCAGGTGAGCAGGTACATTTGTATCCACCATCTTTGTTCACACAGCGTCCATGTTGGCATGGTTTTCTGGTACACTCATTGATATCTGCGGGATAACGAAAGAAATATCACTCATATGTAAAACTAACTATTTGAATTTTCAAGAAAGAGACCATAAAAATATGTTTTGAGCATGAAAATCTCTGTAGTAATATACGATGTACATGTACTATTAGAATTGTTACTACACATGTCAAGAGAACTCACCTTGCTGACAGTTCTGTCCAGTCCATCCAGCTGAGCAGGTACATTTGTATCCGCCATCTTTGTTCACACAGGTTCCATGTTGGCATGGGTTGTTGGCACACTCATCTATGTCTGTGGGATAAAAGAATAGATATCAAGCAGAATTCAAATGATTTTATTATTAAGACAGAAACGGTAAGCTAGGAAGATTACTATGACAAACGTCTTGCATGGTTTTGTATGAAAATCTATGTTATATGCTATACTCTGTCAAGTTAATAGTAACTAAAAACAACTCACATTGATGACGGTTTTGTCCATTCCATTCAGGGTAGCAGGTGCATGTTTTCCCGCCATCTTTGCTCACACAGGTTTCATGTTGGCAGGGGTTTCTGATACACCCATCTATGTTTGTGAGAGGAAGAAGTGGGGGCTTCACCTGAACACAAAGGCAACATACTTAGATACAACAACATAACCCCTAAAGAAATAGTAAATTGCATTATCACAAAAGCTTATCTGTGTTGATAGTAATCAACTGTAAAATATTGAACTCTATTCCAACACAACCAGTATTGTCGCTGTCACCTACATCAGGGTAATAAATGACTAACTTTTACGAGTTTCCGTTAGGAAGATATTGGTTATTGATTATTCTGATGAAGCCGACAGTGGTCGTTGAAAATTTGATCTCTCTGTACTCGTTGTGTTGAAAAAAAGTTCAACATTTTACTATAGTAATTTGCTTTTAGTGATACAGCGAATTTCAGTCGAATTCCAGGAAAAAGTGGAGTAAGAGAACGTTTTCAATTTTTATGAACCTACACATTCATCCATATATACACGTACATACGAGAGATATGCACATGTTACGGAGCACAACTCGCAACTATAGAAGATGAAGAAAGACTTCTTTATGTACATACCGTACTTAGATATCTGTCAACAACAACACTGGGTAACAGTAGGGGAGCGCACTGTACTGTACACATCGCTGATCATTGTTGTTTTGTAACAGAAGAAGTTGTAACTTGAGTGTGCGTCACATTATTCTTGTCCCTTGTGTAATGCTAATAACAAAACTACATAAAAAAGTACACGCAACGGGTAGAACTCTCAGGCACTTCCGAAAAGTTGTCTTCACTTATTTGCATATCAATGAATAGTTCGTGCTTACAAACCTGCATTTCTCCTGCAGTTTCTTAGTGTCACTGACGAAAGGCAGTGGATGTTATCTGAAATGTCTGACCATTTCCAAAATGATATGCAGTTCCTTAAGTAAATACTTTTGGTGTATCTTCTTACTTGTATGTCTAACCTTCACCGATTTATGAAGAATCTATTATTATTATTCACCATACCATACTCTGTGTGTTTAGTCATTTGTTCAACCAAGAAACAGAATGTCCTTATGACCACGTAGATTAAAGGAAACTGTTTTTTTTTTGGGGGGGGGGAACTTTTTTTATTCGCACGCTCGCATCAGTTTGAGGGTTCCCAGAGGATGTCATCCATACAATAAAATCAACATGACCTTACTTGGTAAAAATAACCGAACAAACAAACATGTCTTCACCTCATTCACATTTAAAAACATAGTGTTTGGATAAATACCTGTGAGGAGGATTCAACAGTTGCAGGGAATATGTCCTTTGCGTCTTTCCTGTTATCTGGCCCTTTGGCTGTGAAATCGGCAGGTTGGAAGGAGGAATCGGGCGGTGGTATGAAGGTGTCGGCTGCACTGAGGCTGTTACTCACAACCATTCCCGACATCAGCGCGACCAGAAGCCACTTGGCCATGGCTCTCTGAAACGGTAACACACGGTTTACTCTATCATGAAGCGTCATCTGTGTTGATAGCTTCATGTTCAATGTTATAACTTTTGTTCCAACACAAGAGAATTGTTCTCCCCTAGAGCTTTCGACCAGTCACTCTGGTCTTCCTCCACTCGGTTCAGTCTAATGAGGAAAATTTTAGCTTCCCTGCTTTTAACGAAAGGTAAGGTAAGATCAGTTGTCATGTGTTGGAGAAATTTTAAACTTAAAACAGGTTTTACTCCTAGTGAGAACTTAGCAAGGTGAAAATTCATCAACAATTCTATCCAGCTTATTCGCACAGACGGTTGTCGCTTATAACATCTTAAAATACAAAGAAGAGTTGTCGCAAACTGAAGCACACCATTAAATACTTACTAGTGGAGTTCACGACTCAACTTCAAGACGCTTTTCTTCAGAATGTTGTCTTAAAACAAGGGCGTTTTACAAGTTACAAGAAGAAACAGCAACTTTGCCGTATGCGCGTTACTTCAGAGGCAAGCTTGATCTTATAAGGTGCGCTATAATCTCCTAGTACCTTGACAACCAATGCAATTTTGCACCGTGTAACAAGTTCAGTCGGTGATTAATATAAGGCTAAGAGAATGGTGGGAAAGGGACCACCAGGTTGGACACCGACGAAACTATATAAATATGCAAGATTCGTTGCGTATGAATTACAGTCAAACAAGACCATAGTGACTGCTAATATTAACGGTACGTCAGGAAAATTGCGACAACGATTAAGACAAGTAGTCAAAGGGTCACTATAAAGTGGTCACGATGGACAGACCTTCCCTATGTAGTGGGTACTTACTAGCGGAGTTCGCGACTCTACTTCAAGACGCTTTTCTTTAGATCGTTGTCTTAAAACAATGGCGTTTAACAAGTTGCTTAAAACGTTGCGGCGAAATAAGAAACAGCAACGTCATCGTACGTGCGCCAGTTCAGAGGGAAGCTTCTTATAAGGTGCGCTATAATCTCCTAGTACCTTGACAACCAATGCAATTTTGCACCATGAACCAAGTTCTAAGTGAATGGTGGGAAGGAGACCACCAGGGTGGCCACCCGAAGAGAACTATATAAATATGCAAGATGCGTTACGCATGAAGTGCAGTCAAACCTGTCCGTGGTGACTATTCAGGGGACGTGAAGTGAATTAAATCTTTAAGATCTATAAAACATTTTTGTAAGTATACGTATAAATGAAATGTACATGTATGTGTAGAAAACAATTTTAATCGAAAGTTTAATGTCCGATGCACACAATTACTTGTTACATTTTACTTACCTTGCGCCCTCGTCTTAATGAGATAAAGGGCTGGCCTAGGTGTACTTCAACGAGTCATATCTTGTATATACATGTATATTGAAATAAAGATGATTTTAACCCCCATAAAGTAGTTAGGTGACCACTATAGACAGGATTCTTGTTGCTTGGGAGAGACAAGTACTCAGTAATAAGGGATCACCAAAGAGTTAAGTGGCCACGATGGCTAGACGTTCAATATGTATTTTTGAAAAGGTTACTATAGCTAGTACATGTTTCAAAAGACAGTAAACGAGCAAAAAATATCAACATTAGTAGTCGAAAACTGAAGTGCATCGTTGAACACTCACGTGTAGATCGCGACTCTACTTCAGGACGCTTTTCTTCAGACCGTTGTCTTAAAACAAGGGCGTTTTACAAGTTGCTTAAAACGTTGCGGCGAAAGAAGAAACAGCAACTTCGCCGTATGTGCGTCACTTCAGAGGTGAGCTTCTTATAAAGCACGCTCTAATCTCCTACTACCTTGACAACCAATGCAATTTTGCACCGTGTAACAAGTTCAGTCGGCGATTAATATAAGACTAAGTGAATGGTGGGAAAGGGACCACCAGGGTGGCCAACCGGACGGAACTATATAAATATGCAAGATTCTTTACATTTGATCACAAAAATCTAAATCACATGAGTCAAAGAGATATCTCTCCCAAAATATTCCTCTGAAAGTGGGCCTAGTATACAGAAAAAACTTCTCTTCTTCGGAGAGGACTTACTAGGAATAATAATAAATTTCAACATTTTGATCTGTCCACCTACAAAATGTTAGTCTATGCTCCCCTAAACATAACATTAAGCGTCTTGGCAAAGGTAACAAACCTGGTGTACTTAAGACAGTATGAATTCATATAAAACCACAACTTTATTGCTTCAAATTAAACATTCGAACAACCAATTTATAACACTTCATTGTTCTACACATTCAATAAGACGAAAAATGATTAGTCTATTCATTTACTATTGTTAGAAAAAGATGATAATTTTGGATACTTACTGACCAAAAAATGTGTATGTCTTGAATACAGTGGTTTATAAATGAGATTTACATTCAAGTAATTGACTATTTGTGGGGAAAATTGTATGGTATAGAAAAATGCCTGCTTGTCACAGCCACCACCAAATATGATTCAAATAACATCCCCACATTTCTTTCAGTCATGATTAACAACCAACACGCCTAGAGAGCACAATGCTACACATAAATTCCTTCAGCAGTTAAATTTGGCAATATTTCAATCTTGTATCAAACCCATGTAGCAAAAGTTAATTCCTTGGAAGGCTCTTTAACTTTTAAAAATCAAGTGGCCTCATGCATGCTTTTTAACTTAATGACAGTCATCTCTAATATCTGATCATGAATATCTTAAATATCTTAGACTTAAATGTATTTCACCCTGCGAAACATTGTGAATATAGAAAACAAGAAATGGAGTAGTCTAGTATTTTCATATGTTTTGCAAATCTGAGAAACAATATGCAATAATTTTATCATGTATGTTGCAAAACAACACTTTTTGCTAATGGAAAAGAAACAGTCTAAAGACATATAGGAGTGTATTATAAGGTTTGTGACTATGTTTTCTATGGTTGGTTGTATTTTATCTTGCTGGTGAGAAGCTGGGTGTGTGCAGGTGACAGTAGTCCCTGTCAGCTGTACACAGAACCTTGCACTGTGCTCCAGCCTTGGTGATTCCCTTGCAGTACTTCCTTGGTGTGCTAGGGGTCCTCCTTTACGTAAAAGAGAGTGGCAAATCAGTGTACATCGAAAATATAATAGGCCTTTTTCCCACTAGAATAAAATTGTCTGGATTAGGCCAAACTGATTTGCTTCAATCTGGCTTGATTCGCTCAAAGCAAATGGGGCATGGGGCCATGTATTGTACAATAATATACTCAGTCTGTTGTTGACAAACTAGCCATGCCTGAGACAAAAAATAAATAGAACTCATAAATACACATACCCATAAATACTACTACTGAATAGATAAAACGTTACTCTAACTTAAACACATTCATATAACGTTGCATGTGCTAATATATACTGACCAGCACCTTCAACGTTGTTGTGCTACATGATGTAATCCAACAGCACAGGGTGTCTGCTACAGCACCAGTTACCATGGTGACAAGTTGATAACTATATGTTCCAGGTCAATGACCTGATGTGTTTTCCTTCTGTGAAGGTAAACATTAACTCTAACTGTAACACATTCATATAATGTTGCATCTATGCACTGACCAGCCCCAGCACAGGGTGTCTGCTACAGCACCTGACAGCCATATGTTCCAGGTCAATGAACTGATGTGTTTTCCTTCTGAGAAGGTAAGCATTAAAGACATAAGCAAGTGTAATGAAGGTTCTCTGACCTGTTTGCCTTTGAGGGGGTTCCAGTCATGCTGCTGTTTAGGTTGTGGGTGGGGGTTCTTGGGTGGGAGGGGCTATTTCTTGGACTCCGTCTTGGAGACATGGAGACGTCTTCCAGTACTGACCCCAGGTGTCTCTTAACCAGCTCCTTATATTAGGGGAAGGAAGTTGAGATTAAGTATCAGTATGAAAACATGAAATATATCCATCGGGTTGGAGAATGTTTAAATTACAAAGTTCTTTCACAATCACTTCAGCAAGAACAAAATTTCTCGTCATCAAAATGTCATCAAAATGCTGGTTCTTGTTAAACAGGTGGTTGTGAAGAACTTTGCAATTCATGGGAATAATATAGCCGATAAACTGGCTAGTAAGTGTGAATGAGTCTGGGAGATAGAACAAATGTTCAGAGGTGTATATGTCACTTAAAAGACTGAAAACTTCAAAACACAACAAATCTTATGAGAATATAGAATATATAATATAGTATTGGAATTGGTTATGTGTCACAACACAAATTTACTAAAAAATTTAAACATCTATTTTAAGCAGGTGGCTAGCCACTTTCTCAGTCGTATTGGAAGGCTGAATTTTGAGGCTATTTACAAATGTATCATTCCATAAAATGATTATACATTTAACATTTACCATCGTTTAGTAAGCTACAGAAGAATATGCTTATTCAACGGAGGAAAAATTAGGTACTATCCTGGAGCACGTCGGCAGAACGTACTGCACCTGCGCGAAACCCGTAATGTATTGTACATAGCATTTCGGCAGAATTTCTCATATAAGGTTGTATTCGCTCATATAAGGTTAGCATTTCGACAGTAGTTTTCAAATGTTATGTCGGAAAGAATATCCTCTGCAACAGGCAAAATTCTGATGCAACGTTGACCAAAAAGCCAAATGGAACGAAAAACGCGAAAATACGGGGTTCTGCGCAGGCGCAGTACGTTCTGCCGACGTGCTCTATCCTTGCACCTTGCGTGCAGACTGGGGTGTGCCAGGACAGGGGATGTTAGTGGTGAGACCGGCTCGTAACAGTGGCGTACTGACACGCACGTCCACTGTCGTCTGCCAACCCGACCCAAAGCTCAGGTTGTTCGCCATCGGTGTGTTCGGCTACAAGAAAACAAAAGTGAACAAACATCAATGGCCAGGCGGTCCTTTTGTAAAGGTGGTCACTTTAAGTTTGACTGTGTATCAATAGACAGGTGGTCCTTATGTACAGGTGATCACTAGTACAGATTTCACTTTATATCATACCCGGGCCGCGATAACGTTCGATAACGGGTTCCGGACTGGGCCGTACTTTACGGTACGGCCCGGTCCGGAACCCGTTATCGAACGCTTCCATGGCTTCCATAAAACGATTCGAACGCGTTTCGCCCTACCCGCTTGTGCCCCTTTCGAAAATTCGAATACAGAATCCGGACGTTGGAATTGATGTTGCTGCATTTTAGGGTTTAGTGGCACCAACTTTTGGCTCATCTTGCATTGAAAGGCGCGTTTTCTTGGGTGGGTATGACATAAATAAAATACAACACGGTGTATTCCGCATCACCCTCGGTCCCGGCCCTCCCGCGAGTCGGATCGCGGTCGGGCCGATACCTCGGGCGATACGGAATACCCCGTGTTGTATTCTATATGTATATCAATGGTCAGGTGGTCCTTATATACAGGTGATCACTAGTACAGGTTTCACTGTATATCAATGGCCAGGTGGTCCTTATGTAGAGGTGGTCACTAATACAGGTTTCACTGTATATCAATGGCCAGGTGATACCTCGGGCGATACGGAATACCCCGTGTTGTATACTATATGTATATCAATGGTCAGGTGGTCCTTATATACAGGTGATCACTAGTACAGGTTTCACTGTATATCAATGGTCAGGTGGTCCTTATGTAGAGGTGGTCACTTGTAAAGGTTTGACTGTATATCAATGGTCAGGTGGTCCTAATATACAGGTAAACCACTAGTGCAGGTTTCACTGTATATCAATGCGTCAGATGTTTCAGATGGCATACAGGTTTGACATTAGGGCTTCCTTAAAAGGAAAAAAAGGTTGACAGTGTAGAGTTTAAACTTTGAACAAAAGAAAGAAACTAACCATAGATTTTTGGTTGATCCTGTCAACCTTGGTCAGATGTTGGAACAAAGCTTTTAAAACTCTACAACTACGGATTTTACCAACACAGGTTTCCATTAATTGAAAAAAAAGGTGTTGAGTTTCTTACAGGTTTGATAGGAGTTCCCCCCACACTGATAATAGTCTCCTCCAAACAGTCGTCAGACCGCTCTTCAAACGACTTGTTCAACAGCACAGAGGTGTTGTGTACCTGCAGCACTGTACAAACAAACAAACAAACAAACAAACAACTTCAGCAGGTGCATGGGTACCCTTCTACAAATGGTAAATACGCGCCTACACTTCTTTACAAATAGAACGGCAAGCTGGTGGAATGAGCTTCCTGGGGAGGTGGTTATGGTGCCTAGTGTAAACAGTTTCAAGAAGAGGTTTGACGAGTACATGGAAACACATCCAGTCGTCTACAATTATAGAGCTTTGGACCACCCACTACGTCCAGAGATGTCAGTAAACTGAAGAGCGGCCCAAATTGGAGCAGGACTCCTACCCGGCATGAATCAACTCTACTCTACTCTACTCTACTCTACTAGATACATGATTATATAACGTACTAATAATTTGTTAGTAGTGATACTTACATTTATATCAAGTAAGTACTAAGTACAGTAAATGATTAATAGCTTGTAAAGCACCAACTATTACCAGAAAGCAAACTTGAAAATGAAGAAATATGAAAATCACCCAGTGGTCTGCATTAAAAAAAAAGGACAGATGTCTATCAAAAGAATTTGTACATTGATTTCTCTACTTTATGTACATTGACAAATTCTGAAAACTGTCCACATACACATGTCTACGATTAGGTTTGACATCAATACGATTCATCTATAGCTTGTTAAGTTATTGTGCTAACATACACACACAATTATAGAAACGCCATCAAAATTACAATCACCATCTTCAATCAATCAATCAATCAATCAATCAATCAATCAATCAATCAATCAATCAACCAATCAACCGATCGATCAATCAATCAACCAACCAATCAATCAATTAATCAACTGCAAGCCTCAAGGAAGATGCATGGCGGCTGTAGACATCTTGGTGAAAGTAATAAATCAAGAAAAATTAAAGTAGATGAATTTTCTGAGGACGTAGACATTTCATAAAACATCTACTAATGTGTGGCTAAAACTGAGCACATACATGTCCTGTCCGCTAACTCTAGTGTCTTGATGTTGTCTTGTATGATCTGTTGCATGTCGGCCTCCAGTTTGACAGGGCTGGTTTCCTCGTCTGAAAACATCGGCTGTGAGTCCCTGTAAAAGTGAAGAAGACATTCAGAACACTGAAGACTGCACACCACAGTGAAGTATTTACATTACAAGAGTTGTTATGAATTTCTTCTTTATAATTGTGAACTTCTCTCTGTTTCTGTGATAATAACATTTTGACATCCAATTCCACCTTCCTGTCAATCTTTGGTTACACAATTTTTTCCCCTCACTTCTTCTGCCTCTACTGCATTCAAATAAGTATGGACATACCAATAAACAAACAAACCGAAAACAAATTTCTATAATGAACAGTGCAGGTATACTGAAAGCAAATTTGAAGTTAGTATTTAAAGCCCTGTATCTAAATGCATGATTAACTGTTCTGCAGGAGCAACCATTGAGCAAAAATGGTAACTTCGTTGAGAAGAGTCGTGCAAAGTCCCCTATCCCACGATTACAATGTCTAGCAAGGAATGCCAGTGATTGAAGCAGTGACTTCTTGATTCCCTTTACACTAAGCTTATCCTAGCCATTTGATGATAGTAAAAAAAAAGAAGCTGGACCTGTTAGGTTTCCTGCAGGAGCTTGGTGTTGTGACGATGGCTGGTGGGGGCTGCATGGTGCCGGTGTGAGGACAGGAACATAGGGTCCTGATGGGGGACGGCATGTCCCGACAGCGAGGCCACAGGGCCTGCGCAACCCAGATCAACAACCAGTTCCCTGAACACAGAAGAGTAAGTGTCATCAGGTACCTCAGGAAAAAATAAGAACATGTATACGTATACACTCAGATCAACAACCAATTCCCATATTCCTATATATGGCAACCACCCTCTCCAACTCTGTCCTGCGACTTGCTACATAGTGTAATTTAACACCACTGTGACAGGGTATCTTACCAGGACATAGACATCTGGTCCAGGTCATTGACCTGATTTTTTGGAGAAGAAGAAGCAGTCCAAAATCAATATGTTTTCCTTCTGCAAACTAAGGTAAAATATGAAATAAAGACTAAGCTTTAACTTCCAACACTAAATATATAAAATATATTAAGAAAAACCCTAGCACTGACCTACAACAGCGACAGTAAGAACCACGGTAAGGCTCTGGAAGTCGAGGCTGCGACGATATCTGACCTCCGACACCGCGTTGGTCGGCACGAGCACCAGCATAACGGCTCGGGAAAGGGCGGGGCTCTGGAGGAACGTCATCGTCACCATGGCAACCAGGAAATACCCGACGTGGAGAACGCAGGAGGCGAGAATGGCCAGATGGTCTCCTGGTAGATGATGCGAAAAAAAAGTTATAATTTACCATTTTTTTCACATGTAAGATTAAGTGGTAAATTACATTTTAAAGATGACAATTTTGACAATTTAGCGCTTGAAAACTCTTACACAAAGACAACAATACACCACAGTGACTATAAAAGACAAATGGCTACGTAAATACGACTTACATGTAGTGGTAGTTTCAGGTCCAAATTTTTTTAGGTACATAGCTGTTTCCATGACACCTAAAAAGACCTGTGAGCTCCACGTTAGAAGTCCAACTTTCTGTGTGTCGAAAAAAAAAAACTTCTCCCTTCCCAAGCTTTTACGGAATTCCAAAATAATATGAAGAAACGACCACTCACTGGCACCTCCTATAGAACAGCCAGGAAGTCCATCCTACTGTCTGGTCCAGTCTTCATTCCTTCTATCCCTTCACTCAATGACTGAAAACCAATACCTGGCGACACAGCCAGGAAGTCCATCCTATTGTCCAGTCCAGTGACTTAATGACTGAAAACCAATACCTGGTCACCGATATGGAGAAACGACCACTCACCGGCGACACCTAGCGACACAGCCAGGATGTCCATCCTATTGACTCGTCTAGTCTTTATTCCTTCTCTCCCTTCACTCAATGACTGAAAACCAATACCTGGTAACCAGCACGTCGGCAGAACGTACTGCGCCTGCGCAGAACCCCGTATTTTTGCATTTTTTGTTGGGTTTTTGGTCAATGTTGCATTAGAATTTTGCCTGTTGCAGAGGATATTCTTTCCGACACAACATTTGGAAACTACTGTCGAAATGGTAACCTTATATGAGCGAATACAACCTTATATGAGACATTCTGCCAAAGTGCTAAGTACAATACATTACGGGTTTCGCACAGGTGCAGTACGTTCTGTCGACGTGCTCTGGTAACCGATATGGAGAAACGACCACTCACCGGCACCCCCTAGCGAAACAGCCAGGAAGTCCATCCTCTTGTCCAGCCCAGTCTTCATGCTGTCCATGAGGTGCAGGAGGTAGTTCACGGTGGCGTTCATCTGGCGCAGGTTCGAGAGCGTCACGTGGAACTGGCCGGCGGTTTCCTGGTGAAATGTTGCCATCTCGTGGCTGTTGTGGTCTGTGAAAAATTACCAAAAACTCTAAATACAGATGTGTGGGATCTTCAATTTCTTATTCTTATATACATGTATGTTTTACAGTGGCCAGAATACTTCTTTTCAGTGCTCTGCGATATTGCAGAAGAGTCAAAATTTTGTTCTGCAATTTGAAAATACACAAGCCTCGATACTACAACCTTCTCAAACCAATAATACCATAATGATTATAATTCCGCTGGCATGAAATGACAGGAAAAAATTTCAGGCTGGCCAGAGAACAATGTAACAGATACGTTACCGATTTTGTCCCAGAGTTCCTGAGCCTTCTCTCGCACCACCATGAGGTCCTTCAGCAGCTCCTCGTGGCTCCGCTTCCTGTCGTTCTCATGGAGAAGCAACTCAGTTGTCGCTGATTCTGTCAAACACAGAAGCTGTCAATAAACTCAGTTTAGCTATAACATCTGTGTCCATAATATCACCAGGGTCCATAATATCGCCACCTTGAGAAAAAGTGTGCTTAAAGATATTTTTACTGCAACATACCCTAGGTATGTACATTTGAGGTGTGCAGGAGTGCATACCAAAAGCATGTTGCAGTAAAAATATCTTTAAGCACACTGTTTCTCAAGGTGGCGATATTATGGACCTTGGTGATATTATGGACACAGATGTTAGAGTATTTGGTTTTAAACAATTTTTCAAACCTCAAAACTGTGCTGCGCCACTATATTGTTATGTTGAGTTGGTTATTAGGTTGAGTTGACCCTAAAGGTCATGACCCTATTAGAGGTCATCTCATGGGGCAGCCCCTTTGTCTGCCATTGCTGTTGTTCCTTTGAGATGCCCATTAAAGCTCTCGTCTCCGGATCGCATCTTGTTGACTTGAGTTGTAGAGTACGCATCATACAAATGTTAGGCAAAATTATCTATGTGCATATAAGGTTTCAGGACATAGTAAGGTGCATTGATTCCCTAAAATGAATTTTGAAACGCTGCATTTTGAAAGAGGAGATTGCAAACCCAGTTTTTCCTTCATCTTGTCTGTCATGTCTGCCATCATTCCCACCAACTCTCGCTGTCCTGACGCGATCAGAGCCTTCTCTCTCGCCAGGTCCCTCAGGTTTCCTGCCACAAAGGAAACAGTACAACAACTGTGTTTAAATTACACCAACACTAAAATGAGCACTTTCAATGTACACACAAATCGGTACACCTGCATGCACTCCAATTTTGCTCCCTAATAGCCTTAGCCCTTTTGTCGTTCACTCAACATTGAGGATCATCATCATCATCTTAAGTACTGCTATGCCCAATTTACATCTGATTACTAGCAGCTGCACATAATTACAAAACAAGTGACCGGTACGAATAAAAACAAGGGTAACTGAAGGAGGAGGCACTAAGGAACGTAAATAACTGAATCTGTTGGTGTAAGAGACAAGACAGTGCATTTAGTGTGTTAGTTAAGGACATACATGTATATATACATATATACAAGACGTGTGATATAAGAGGATATGAGTTAACCTGCTCTTGCTCTGATGATATTTTGGCACTTACAGTCAACGAAAACCCTAACGTTTTCCCAGTTATTACTGTTGTTTTTAATTGTGCAGCATCAGTGTTGAAATTACAGCAGAACATTTAATACAACAAGCAAGACATAAGGTGTCAATGTGTTTTTCTGGCAATCTGTTTCTTGCTTGACTTGCATGTAGAATCTAAAGGTTCTGGGTTCGAATCCCTACCAGTCTTCAATGTTGTGCCCTTGGGAAAGGCACTTAACACCTATTTTCTCACTGAAAGTTGACTTTGTGACTCCTACAGAATTCCACTCTACACGTACCACAGGATGCCTGTTTTACTATTTTTTTCATTTTGCCCACATTCTCTATGATTCTTCAGAAAAACACAAGAAACCGATGAGATTTAAGTGTAATGACCTTGGATGTGTGAAGCAATGGACACCTGGGAATGCTCCAGCTGCTGCTGCCTTCCCATGAGCCTCTCCTGTCCGTCCGCAACAGTCTGGATGGTGTCAGCAGCCATGGTCTGAATCTCAGCCTGGCCATTCTGACAGTCAGGAAAAAGGAGAACGAAAGAAAAGAATCACAAATGTACATCATTCTCAAACAATGATATATTTACTATATTATGTAGCAAGTTGGAGGGGCTGGTCACCATATACATGTATATGAATGTAATTGTTCTGAAGAAACAGAGCAGTAGTTTGTTGGACAAGATCATGTGAAGCTGAAGGTAACCATACATTGTAATGACATTAATTAAAACAATTTGCCTTGATGCTCTCCTTAACCCATGCTTGTTGGTGGACTGTCATGACAAGCTAAGCTTGTTGACAAACAAACCTTGATGCTCTCCATAGCCTGTACTTGCTGGTCAGCCGTCATGACCAGCTTGTTGACGGTCTGCTCCGTTTTTCGGCGGAACTGCTGCTGCCTGGTGGCGTAGCAGACAGAGCGCGCACGGTTACTGATGATGTGGTACGCGTTCCACGTGTCTGAGTCCATCCCAGCCGTGCAGTCAGCCAGACTCTACAGGAATCAATCAATCAATCAATCAATCAATCAATCAATCACAGACATGCAGTACACCAGACTCTACAAGACTATAAAATTCAAACCATTATTTTTTGACAGTCCAACTCTATTGACTTTGAGCAATCCAGAACTTCTGTGACATCACATTATGCAAAAGTTGCAGAAAGTTTATATGACTTCTCAATCCAGTACACAATTGGCCAAAATAGAGTATATAACACTGGACTCTTTGCTTCTTAGCTCAAAGATCCTAAATTGCTTGAGCTCCAAGAATCCAAGTGTACATTTATCTATTAGAAAATGATTCTTATATAAACTCATTATATACTTGATGAGTTATGAGGTGGCTTATTAAAATGATGTTTAAAATCATTTTATGATCATAGAACGCAGAGACTTGTATATATCCAATTTGTATATACATGAATAATGTAGGTTTTAAGAATCCCTTCCTTTAATTACGTTTAATGTGGTTATTAAAGTATGTACTTTTAAGTGGTATTTTTAAAGAAGAAGAACTTTGTTGCACGACAATTGCAAATGGTACAATGACTATGGCAAACTACATAAAGAGAGAAACAACAATAAGTGTGTTGAATAAGACCTAATGTTGAATAAAACCTAACATATCTATACGTATCATAATTATTCAAGTAATAAGGGATAGCACAAGTTTAAATCTGTCACTTTTGTGAAACACGCAATTCAGCCTGTGGCTGCCGTGTGTTTTTGACAAATAAACTTTTCATTCATTTAAAACTCACCATGTCCTGTGTACAGGTGAAGGTGGGCCGTCCCTCCACCTCTGATTGACAGTTCAGGAGGGCCACGCCCAGTTTTGCTATCTCCTCCTCACTCATTTCCCCACAGGAGCTCTTTAGTTCTGCGATTATCTGGAATAACAAATTTTCGAAAAGGAATAATTACAAATCATGCTGTAACGTTAAAGATTCTAAACATTTCTTTTTTTATGTTATAGAAGTGCAGACTGCAGACCGGAAGACCTGCCCAGGGCCATGGAGGATAGGGAGGGCTGGCGGAAAAGAGTCACGAGCATCCGTGAAACTCCCACGACCAGATGATGATGATGTTATAGAAGAAAGAAAACATTTTGTTATAGCTCCGTTTATTCTCTTTCTCCAAACACATGGACCAGACTGCTTCTGCAGTTCAAGAACAAAGCTGCTAGGAGGTCCAAACTTATGTCACTTCTTCCTGAGCACAAAACTCTTTTGCTATCCAAAATTTATGACCCTACCATGTCCAGGTAACGCGATATAAGAACCAGAAATTACACTGCAGTACCACAACAAGCCGCTAGGGAGCCCAAAATCTAATCATTTGAGCTCATCAAGACCTACATTTGTACCCACCTACAGCTACCACGCCACGCCACGTTACATGACAAATTCTATCCACAGCTTCTTGAAATACATGTTAAAACATACACACACATATATTAACGCTAACAAAAAGAGTTACCCTATCGTTGCACCCGTCCAGCGGTGAAAGTTCGAACTGTTTTGCCTGCATCAAAAACCGCTCGTCCGAAGTCGCCATTTCAAACGGGACCTGGTTTGGCACAACTCCAGGCGATCTCTGGTCGTCTTCGTTGGTTTTCTCGCTCGAAAATGGCCAGAAGAACGCGGAACAAGGGCTGAAAATCACCACAAAGGTACACAGTACGCTCAAAAGCCGCATGGCTGTCATTTTGGCGAAATATTGGAAGTTAATTCGCAACTCAACTAGCAGCGAGAGAAATCTCTAGTCCACTGCGATGCTGAAAAATTGCAACGTGGAAATTTGGCGCCAAATTTTAATCGCGAGTTCTGATTGGTGGAACGACTGTACATCTGAACGCTGATTGGCTATAAGTCAGGACGAGTGGCGCATGTGCAGTAGCAACCGCTGCGGGTCACCAAAGGTCAGGGCTGAAGAAATGTCGTCTGCAGAAGTCTAATATTGTAATAATTCTTGATTAATACCATATTTTAATGATATAGACGTTTGAGAGATGGTTTGCGTGGTTTAGATAGGGTTTGCTTTTATGTCTGAGAAAAAAGAACGCGGGAAAATGGCGGGAAAGCGAAACAAAGAGAGGATGAGGAAGGGGGAGGGGGGAGTGTGACGCGCCGGATTGAGTACTTAGAATGCTCCGTACAAAAAGTCGTAGTAAGGTCACGATACGTCAAATGAGGCTGGTTTATGTGTCCCCGTGATGTCAACGAGTCAGACCACCGTGTGTGGGTCAGTTGGAAATTCAAAAATCACTGGAAGACGAGATATGTCCCGTCAAAGTTGACCTTCTAAGTACTCATTTTGGCGTGGTTTTTCTGTGTTTTGCGGTCTGCATGGGGGTTTTCAGACGACCGCTGTCCCGTCTACTTCCGGGTCAAACCACGCCCCCTAACAGCTGCTAATACGCGTATGTGCGCTTACACTTGGACGGCGATTGCGTTCGATACGGATGTTCTGGCCAGTGTTATAACTAACGGTACGGCCCGGAGTCTCTTTTGTTATCACACATGCTTCCAAATGTTTCATAGAATAACTCGAACGGCTGTCGGGCGATTAAACCCGCGGTCGGGTTGGTACGTTGGGCAATACGGCATACTCAGCGTAGTATTACTGCATATTTTATTTTTTATTGCAAGATAACATGTAAGCCTTACCTCTAATAGTTGTTCTATCAGGATCACTCAGTTTAACCATACTAATTGTTTCTTCGAACTTCACATTACACCCTGTTCACCCTATAAACCATTCTGACCGGGACATATCATTCATGTTTCTAATGAAACATACCGTAAGTTGTCTTACAGACAATCTGTTTTGCTGTGCGCACGTATGTAAGTTATAATGTAGTTCATTTTCGTTCACGACGATTTCAGTTATGGGGTAATTGTAACTTTGGACTACATATATCTTTAAATGGAACAATGCTAGAATGTCTACATACATGTAAAATGTAAAAAATGTAAAAAAATTGCTTGACAAATAAAGACGGTAGATTTTTCACCTGTGTCACTTGAATGCAGGTATATACTGGGACCCGAATATGAGGTTTTGCAGTGTCATAGGAATGACATAGCCTTAACATGGCAGATATATGTCACCTGAGCCATTGGAATGATATAGCCCTGAACAGCAGAATTTCCACCTGTGTCATAGGAATGACATAGCCGGCAGATATTTTACCTGTGTCACAGGAATGACATAGCCTTAAGACGGCAGATATTTTACCTGTGTCATAGGAATTATATAGCCTTAAGACGGCAGCTATTTTACCTGTGTCATAGAAATTATATAGCCTTAAGACGGCAGATATTTTACCTGTGTCATAGGAATGACATAGCCCTAAGACGGCAGATATTTTACCTGTGTCATAGGAATGACATAGCCCTAAGACGGCAGATGTTTTACCTGTGTCATAGGAATGACATAGCCCTAGGACGGCAAATATTTTATTTATTTATTTATTTATTCAGAATTGTAACAACACAATACAAAGTGTGTACAAGGCAGCAAGTAAGCTGATGGCGCACACACCTAACACTCACCTAGACATGTGACAAGGGTACAACAATAGATAGTTAAAAACATGAATAGTAGATGAATAACATAAACATACAAATCAAACCAATTTTAAGAATCAATTTTGGTACTCAAAATAGCATTTTCATATAAATCAAACCAATTTACAAGATAATGTTTGGTGTGGCTCAGCTGGAAGAAGCGCAAAATCTTTTTGATTGGGCAATGAAGGTGTGGAGTGCATCTGTGAGTTTTGTGTTAGTGTCATAGTTGTGAGCTGGAGAACCCTGGAGCAGGGACTAGGAATGTGGTTAGGTGTTGTTGAGTAAGGTGTTCAACAGTGGAGGCAAGGGTGTTACGTGGCTCGGTGTGGAGGGGGCAATGTAACAAGTAGTGTGGTACTGTTTCAGAGGGGGCCCCACAGGCACACGTCTTGTCTTTAAGGCTCATTTTGTGCAGGGTGCAGTTTAATTGACTCCAACCCATGCGCAACCGTGCAGCATAGATGTTGAACTGCCTAGAGCCGAGACTACGGTGCAACTGATGGTGCCTTGGTGTGAAGAGGTGCTTTTTACACACCCGTTTGAATGCAGCAAGACTACTGACATCCTTTACTGTCTGGGGCAGCTGGTTCCATTGTGAACAGGTGAACGGAAAGAAGCTGGTTTTGTAAGTCTGTGTCCTGCATCGCGGTATGTGGAGGTGAGTATTGTTACGGAGCTGGAGCCTTGAAGTTGACTGGGCACCTCTTGTAGATGGAACGAGTGACTGTAGGTGAGGAGGAACAAGTCCGTTGGTAAGCCTGTACATGATTACTAGTGAGTTGTACTTTCGCCTGGTGGAAAGGGTGTCCCATTCAAGGCAAATATTTTACCTGTGTCATAGGAATGACATAGCCCTAAGACGGCAGATATTTTACCTGTGTCATAGGAATGACATAGCCCTAAGACGGCAGATATTTTACCTGTGTCATAGGAATGACATAGCCCTAAGACGGCAGTTATTTTACCTGTGTCATAGGAATGACATAGCCCTAAGACGGCAGATATTTTACCTGTGTCATAGGAATGACATAGCCCTAAGACGGCAAATATTTTACCTGTGTCATAGGAATGACATAGCCCTAAGACGGCAGATATTTTACCTGTGTCATAGGAATGACATAGCCCTAAGACGGCAGATATTTTACCTGTGTCATAGGAATGACATAGCCCTAAGACGGCAGATGTTTTACCTGTGTCATAGGAATGACATAGCCCTAGGACGGCAAATATTTTATTTATTTATTTATTTATTCAGAATTGTAACAACACAATACAAAAGTGTGTACAAGGTCAGCAAGTAGCTGATGG